AATAAGCTCTGTATAGCTAAAAGCTAATCTCGAGAAACTAATGAATTACATTACACAGACAGCAACTAAGCTGTAACTGTCTATCAAATATGCAAGTAAAGAAAAGCATGTAAAAAAGTCTCTCCCTTTCCTTCTCTCTCTCTCCCCAAACACGAATATGGATCATGGCTCCCTTGCTTCGTATATCTGTGACTATAGTCTATAACACTAGTATTATACTTTTTAAAAGCAATCATAGGATTAAGTAAAATACGTAAACAGGGGCAATGATAGAAGATGAAAACAAAACATAAATGAGGCCTCAACAGATACTCATAACTAATGGGGTAGGTCTCCTTACAATGCTTCATTTTACTTACATTTTCAGAACATAAGTTTGAGTGTTGAGAAAACATTGTTGTTGTTACTGATATTATTGTTCATCTCTGTCAATTCAGATATAAAATAAGATATACAACCAACATTTCCTGTACACTCAACATCCTTTCGCTTCTTCTGAGCTATGTCACCTGCACCACCAACTACCCCCCACCTCTACTTGCTATATTAGTCTTCTTTTTCACTTAATAACTATTGTTCTTGTCCATTAGAACAGATTCCCACCTCGACCCATGCACCTGGATCCTATGAACTAAACATGAGATATAGAGACATGTGTAGTATAACACCCTAAACCCTATATTGGGATTGCTCCTGATACAATGCTATATTGATATCACTTACAATCTTAATTGGGAATTGAAGCAGTCATTAGCAGCAAAATAAATGTAGCAGCAGAATACTCTCCACTAAAACCTACAGATTTCTTTACTAAAAAAAAAAACCCTACAAAATTCCAAGTCAACTTAGTCCTACATTTGATCTGATTAATTCCAACACTTAATTTACATACCAAGCATAGATCATTTTGAAGAAATACAGCATTAGAAGTGCAAATAGAACAAGGAAATTTTTTACATGAAATATAAAGTATATAGTCTACTCACAGCACACCAATAAAATTAGATCAAGGAAATAAATATGGGAGTTAGTAACATAGGTTGCCATGGGGAAAACTTACCATGGGACTAGATACACTATCGTTAGCTTGAGAATTAGATATGATTGTGGTAATAAAGGTAGCTTATCTAGCAAATGATATGGCTTTAAGAATGCCACCTCAAAAACAAGAGACAATGACTCACAATGATACGAACACATATGAATCATGGACCAACAACATCTCAATCCAAATTTAATTGAAAAACAACATTTAGTATATACTAGAGGTAAAACAAATGACCTTTTAAAAATAGCATACAACCACACATCTATTTTTTGTGATATTGCAATTACGCCTTCAAGGAGATGAAGACTGAAGAGAGAAAGTGTGCGCGAGTGAGAAGAGAGAGAGAGTTCAGCACATTTTCCAACATTCAAGGGCAACTAAATTTGAACAGCTTATCAAAAAAAAATCTAAAATAAGAGCAGACCAGAAAACAAGCCATCCAACCTCTGCCCGAGGGAAATTTCTTGCAGACCTCAAAGTGTGGTGGGTAACGAGTTACATAACAAAAGATAAATTTACAATGCAAAGCAGAGTCGTTCATTTTATAAATTGAAGCTACCTAGCTATTTGCTGACAAGTCAAGACACAAGCTCAACCATTATTTGCCACATGTTTCAAATAAAACATGATCATGGCAGCACCTTAAGTCAGCATCTCTAACAACTAAAGTTAATTATATCAGTTCTCTAAGAATCAAACACTTTCTCCAATTAACTTGGAGCTAGCTAGTTCCTTATCTAGCTGCCAAAGGCCCTTAATCCCTACCTACAATATCTTCTGCCACAATAGTCCAAGTTAAACAGAAACGGTCTGAAAACCCAATCCTGAAATACACATAAACCGCCCTAAAAGCATAGAATTTAACTTTTCTAGTAGATACTTTTAGTATGTGCATGAAAGTAGCATCTACTGAAGAAAAGCTGAACTAAAGGTCATTTTACTACTTATCCAAAGACGGTCTAACTCAAAACTGAACCAAAACAAGCATTCAATCAGCAGATCAACAATCTAAAAACATTAGAAACGCAATATAATCCTAGTATATTCCCACACCTGTTACAAGCAAGACACTGCAAACGCCCCTGCTTTCCATCAGCCAAATAACTCCTTTTGACATTAGCAGTGTCAAAAATTAGCTTCACCATAAGCAAAAAAGACTTCTTTAATGCACTTTGATCCACCTCATTGTGCTTAGTCCTACTCGCACTCCCTTCAAAACCTCCACTTCTCATATATTTTGCAGGCCTATTCATTTCTTCTCCTCTACCCATATACAAACTACTTGACCCGGGCGGAACCGGACCAGCATTTCCATGTTCCAACACTTGTTGCCTTAACCTATCAAGCCCATCCTTTCCCTCGTCACCAAACTTCCTCTTCGTTGCACCATCACCAACACGTCCCCCCTCTACTCCTATTGGATTCCAATGATCCGGATTCCTATTCCTCATAAACGCATCATCTGGAAACTGCCTCTCAAATCCTAACCCCGGCGGCCCACGAAAATCCGGCCGGGTAAAAGCTGGAAAATCCTGATAATCATGGGGTAATGCGAAGTAAGACCGTACTGAACCATCAGCTAGAACTATGGTTCTACGTTCAAGCATGTGAAATCCATATAAAGGGGGTGGAGGTGGGTCACGGAAAGGGAAAGGGGGTAAGCCAAAGTGAGCATTCGGGTCGGGTTTTGGTGATGGATTCTTAATGGGTTTCGGATTTGGAGTCGTAGGGTGATTGGGGTTTGTGGTTTTTGGAGAGGGCTTTGATTTGGGGTCGCCGGATCCGGATGCGGCGCAGGCGCGGGCGCCGGCGACTGAGGTTTTGGGATCGGAAGAAGGTTTCTTTCCGGTGGTGGATTCCCATCGGGATTTCCGGTGTGAAGCAGAGGCAGAAGAAGGAGCTGGCTTGCTGGAGGAGGGTTTTGGAGGGTTACCTCCTGCCATCCTCTTTGAGTTTTTTGATGCGGCGACTGGAAGCTAGTTTTTGGAAGAGTTGAGAGAGATCATCAGTTATATGTAGAAGGAGAAAAGAAGATTCCAGAACAGGGGAAGAAGGTAAAATATGAAAATTTATCAAAAGAATAATAATCAATTGCTATTAAATAATTATTTGTCCTTAAATGATATTGTCAAATTTATATTTGTGTATTAAATTGATTAGATAATGATATTATAATGAGATAACTTGTGAAGATCTGGTAAAGAAATACGATGAGTGATTTAAACTAAGATACAAAATTTTTTTATCTTGATCTTCAATCAGTTTGACCGCCATTGTCGACTTTAGAATTTTCAATTATTTGAACTTAGCAACTTTATGTATACAGAATTAAATGAAATTCATATGTTCTCCTTTATATATAGCTAAATATTACTGATAGACAAGATCCATAAATATATTTTTATAAAGTCTATTAATTATTTGTTATTATTGTTGAATAACAATCGATGATTATCTTAGAATCTTGTGTAACGTTGATTGTTCGAACAACTCTATTTTGATTTGTGTCTTGCACATGGCACCGCGTCCTGGGAACTAGATGGGCTCTAGTCACAACACTCAGTTATTGATGATAACACATTGAACTTTTCCTAAATGAAAATCGCTTTTCACCGATCTCTCCAATATTGTTGATTTCGCTGATTCATATCCGATCTATGGCTTTTGCCAGGTGTTAACTTTCGACTCATTCACTGTCAAGCTCAGATTTCACTCCATACAACAAACTTAGCAAATAAGCAAATTATAGTTCATAAATAAGGTATTGAAATATTCTAAGACTTCGCATTAATAAAATCACATATTTCATGTTCTTTTATAAATAATATTTGCAGTTACATGTTATTATAAACTTTGAAATGCAAATGATTTTACAAAGAACTCATTGATCCAAAAAAATATAAAATAATAGCAATTAGTCATTCTTTAATAAAGCTTTCACATTATACAAACAATCTATTCACATGAGTAAATGTCTTTTTTTTTGTAAATTTTTAAATAATGGATCTATTTTTACAATATATAAACTTATGAGTCAAATTTAACATTTAAAAAAAATTAAAATCAAAACTCCTACTTAATTTCTTAGGTCATTAGTACGAATATTTCTATTTTGAGTTGGTGGTTAATTTTTGCTCCTTAAATTCATTGTTTTCAATTTTTGCACATTTAACACTTTTAGGACCTAGCTACAACTCTTTATTTGTTGTATGTTCCTCTTGCTCAAACAAGATTTCACAGAGTCGAGTTCAAAAAGCATCTTTATATGTATCGGTAACAAGAAAATGGTGAAAAATACCATCAAACCGAAAAACAATAAAAATTGCAAGGTATACATATATATTTTTGTATCACAATATAACATAAGTTATGTCTTATCATAACTAATTATGGTTCCCAAGCTTATGTCATTAAATACCACAAGTAACAAGAAAATGGTGAAAAGTACCATCAAAACGAAAAACAATAAAGATTGCAAGGTATACATATATATCTTTGTATCATAATATAACATAAGTTAAGCCTAGCCATAACTAGTAATGCTTCCTACCGAGCTTATGTTGTTATAGGCACAAGTTCAATTCAAAACTCACAAGTTATGTCTTATTTTCTACAAAAATTAATGCTGATAGAAATCAAAGTTCAATTTCAGAACCCACAAACTTATTTCTACATAACTTGTGTCGGATAAGACAACAATCCATATAACTTAAATTCTTATGAAATTATACCTCTACATGGAAAGAACGAAAGAAAATATGCAACACCAATCATGTAAGATGATGGAGATTCTTTCACCCTTAATTAGTGTTTTTAGATACAAATTCTAGGTGTGAAAAAATTAAAACTAATCGAGTTGTAATTCAGATACCGGACACCAAATGAGAAAAAAAGGAAATGTGTAACAGAAACTATTGAAGTACCAAAGTGCAACTGAAAAGTAATAGGAAGGTGCTTATAGTAAGTTGTGAAGTGTGAACCAAACAGAAAGCTATCTCATACATTTAGCTAAGAGCTACTGCCACTACCACTCTTCTTCTCTGTCAATTTTCATCTCCAGATTTAATTTTCTCCACCAAAGTTGAAGTCTTTCAGCTTCTTGAGTGTTCTGTGTGTCTATTCTTTGGTGGGTATTCTATATTATTGCTTTCTTGGAACTAATTTACCCAAAGAAAGCTCCTTTATGACTTTTGGGTCTACCCCAATTCCTCTTTTCTATGTTTAAGAAGAATTATATTTTGAAAGTGTCATTTATACATTCTTGATTTTGGTGGTCTAATTTATATATGTGGATTAAGTTTGAGCTCATTAACTGAAAGGGACAGTGTGGTTAAAATCAGTTTGGATTAATTAGCTATGTTTTTCTTGTTGATGAGATAATTTAGCTAATGATTCTTATTTTGGTGAAGGTTTCTTCTGATGTGTATGGGGTAGCTTTTGAGTTAGGATGGCTTTCTTCATTCCAATGAATGTATGTCCATTTGCCATGTCTTGCTCTTGTCAGAAGATTCAAGGCACTGATGAATGTAAGATTTTTTCATGTTTGATGTATTTAAGTTCCAGTTCTCTTTTTTAGTCTGTTTCGAAAAGAATGTCTCTTCCCTTTTGACAACTCTTTAATTCCAACTTTGACACGTAGACATGTTTAAGACCACAAGATTAAATGATATTTTGATACATTCTTTAGTTTTAAGACTACAAAATTTAGAAGTCGTTCTTTACTTTCTTAAACTCCATGCCAAGTTAAAACCAGACAAACAAATTAAAATGTAATTTAGCACCAAAATGCACAACATTTTCTTCTTCTTGTGCTAAAGAGACTTAAGTTTTTATAATATGAACATAGACGGGCTTACATCAAGCTACACGGATAGTGAAGATATTTATAGCTGTAGTCCATAGAGCATAGACATAGTTATTTTTGTTCTAACACACAATTTCTTGGACTGCAACAGTTCAATTGTTAACCTACAATTGGCTGGAGATAGGTACCTTGCCTAGAGGGACAAAGTACTACGATTGTTTTGTGAGTGAGGCACTGGAGAAACAAGTTGACTATTGAGAGATATAGGATAAGAAAAATGAAGGAAGAGAACTTTGATACAATTACTAGGATTTCTGTTATGTGAACATGCTGAGAAGCTTTATATAGATCATCTTGATACAAATGTTGTGAGAAAATGCTTTATGAAGTGACCGGACTGTTCAGAAATATTAACTTGTTATTGCCTACACCTTGAAAGTCAAAAGGCAGAGCTGATTGCCCGCGTAGGAGGGCAGCACGCTTTGGGATGCGGAGGGGATATTATTGTCCAGCTCCTTAACCTAAAGCGGCACCGAGTTTGGACCGCAGGAAACCGCAGCATGGGCCAGGGGATCTGTCCTCTTCCTTATTCTTATGTATCCAACAGAAAAGACCTAATTGCGTCTCAACTTCATTTTTGGGTTTACTTGTCCCTCCCGATGTCAATCATAACAAGGCTGTTTCAGTGTCCAGTCTGATATTTTTTTCTTCTTTTTCTTATGTTTTATTATGTCCTTGACATCTATAGACCTCTCATGAGTACTACATTATCTACACAGTATAGTGATTGAATTGTCACTATTTCCGGAGAGTTCTCTTTTCCTGATTGCTGTTCTTTTTAACATAACAGATAAACTACAATCACGGAGTTCTGGTATATTATCATCTAAAGAAGAGGCAACTCGTCGCCAGCTTCTTGCAGTAGGTTTTGCCAGTCCTTTGGTTTCACTTTTAACATACAGCTGCAGCTTAACGGTGCCACCAGCTTGGGCAGAGGATCAAGAGATTCAAGACAAGGATGAAAGTGTGGTTGGGGCTATTAAGTCCTTGTTTGATCCAAATGAGACAACAAAGTCAGGAAAAGTCTTACCAAAGGCTTACTTGAACTCTGTAAGAGAGGTGGTGAAGACATTGCGCAAATCATTAAAGGAAGACCCAAACGACATGTCTAAGTTTAGACGAACAGCTGATGCAGCTAAGGAATCCATCAGGGAATACTTGGGTGGATGGAGAGGACAAAAATCAGTAGTCAATGAGGTAATCCTATTTTAACAAACAAAAAGTGGATGTTATTGCACTGTAGCTCATTGAAAAGTTCAGTACTTGCACATGCAGTGGATTCATTGTTTCCAAATATGTGTAGCAAATTAGAAACATAATTGGCTAAGAAGGACGCTAACATGACATGCTGACTTTAAATTTCAATTTTATTGAACCTCGACTTCTCAGGTGTTTATTATAATTAGATGACATTTCAAAGATCATTTCTGGTTTCTCAGCGCCTTTTAGGTACCCAGGCCCTATATGCACTTACCTTGCCTAGTTGCCTACTGTCAGTATAAATGAGGCTATTTCTTCTAGAATAGCTGGTCCATTTCCTCACTTTAGAGTCATATGTTTGAGGCGCCATAAAACATTCAAGTTGCACCATAAGTAGACTGTGCCAGTCCAATTATGCATTTGAGTTTTGCGCTGTTAGAGTACAGATTGCAGAAAAGAAGACAGAAGAAGCTTGCTGATGCATTTTTGCAGCAATTACTGTCTTCTTTCATTACTAACTCATTGCTTATAGTGGCTTTTGAGTTTGGGCAAACTACTATCTTGAAGAAGTTTTAGAAATCTTGTGATATAACCTGATCAATTAGTAAAAATCCCTTCCTTTGCTGGACCTAAGCCAGTCATTCTGAAGAACACTTAACCCCTTCTACCAAGGCTGTTAGCACGGAGTTAGACGGGGCTTCTTTCTCGAGTCCTGTCATTATTGCGTGTCTACACCCGTCTTCTATGTAATTATTGACATGCATTTATGCATCAATCTACACTAGCATGAAAACAAGAGTTGTATTTTAGGGCTTTTTTCCTGTAGTGGAAACAATGTTTGATCTGGTCATTATTTTGACTTAGTGCTATATTTGCAGGAGTCATATGTTATGCTAGAGAAAGCTATTAGATCTCTGGCCAGTTTTTATTCAAAGGCAGGCCCATCTGCTGCACTTCCAGAAGAGGTAAAGTCAGAGATCTTAGATGATCTGAATAAAGCAGAAGAAGCATTGTAACATGGGGTGGAAGGTCAGTGGTACATGGTGGAATAGTCCAGGTGCACGCAAGTTGGCTCGGACACAACAATAGTAAAAAAGAGCCAAAAAGAATTGTATAATGGTTCTTGATACACATAACAAAAGAGGCCAGTGCAGTATAATATCTTCTGTTGCAGTATGCTCAATTAGATATAGTCTACTTGAAAAACGTACATTTGATCAAACTATCTTTTGTTGCATTGTTTTGTTCATTAGCCCGTCACAAGATCTATTTGTGTGAAGCCTACCTATGGAAAGAAAGAAAGATGCGTGAAAGGAAAATGAAGAAAGAAATTCAAATTTGCTCTGGGAGTGTGAGATAGGCAGACAGAGCTTTTCACAGTCAAAGTTAAAGGTTTGTTGGTGGCAAGATCAGCATGCCTTCTAGTTGTGCAACTGAACGACCGCTAAGGTTCCAGCCAGTGATAGCTGAAGTAATCAGATCGGTCACCCCAACGTAGAGCTGTCATTTAAGTGCGATATTATATGCAGTCTTATCTTGCGCTACTTAGACCTTGACTTCTTGATTACACGGTTGACAACCCTTACTGTTACGCCTAGCCGTGTAGGTACTCCTCCATAAAGTGACCCCTGGGATTTCACTATGTATGTTATTGTACTCGTACTCCTCCTTGAAGTCCCTGTTCTACTAAGTCAGAATCACACTGAAGCATCCAAGAGTCGAGACAACACAATCCACACCCCATTAACAGCATCCACTAAGAAAAACTCACTATGAAAGCCAAAAATTGAAATTATGAAAATACAGAACATATGAAGTTCAAAGTTTCATGTAACCACAAGATACATAAGAAATCGATTGGACTTGGCATAGCTTCAAGTTACATCTCATTTTTTGCTGGAACAGATTGCCAGAGGCATTACAAAGGCTTCATTTAGGGAGAGAGAGAAACTTCATTTTATTCATATATCCTCCTTAAATACCATCCTTGTAATAGGCAACTTAAACGAACATAGGACACAAAACATGGAAATGACCATTGTTTTTTAAAAAAAAGTTTACAACCAAATCAAAAACCAAATGCCCTTCATCACCAGTAAAACCTCCAATATCTCAAATATAAAAGCTGAAATACTGAAAGTAGCTGCCCGCAATTCCATTCATCTTGTAGCATTCGTGGATATCAAAATAATTTCTTGAAAGAGCCAGAGAAGCGTCTGATGTATTTCAATCCACCTTCTTCTACTGCAGGAGCTTCCAATAATTATGATATACCTTGTAGATTAGCAGTGTGGTAAACTACTGCAAGGGACAAATAGAAATAAGTAGAGATCATTCCCCACTGATATTTTCAGAAGGATTAGCCATAAAAGTAACTCATTTGTTTATCACAAAATACTAAAGTACTGACCTTTTCTCAAAGAATCTGAATCTTTGCGGTAATAGATAATTTCACGATCGAGACAAAACCCCTTTTGAGCTGCACCAGTAAAAAGGAGGAAAATTGAGTTTCAGGAACTCCCTTTCATAAACAAAAATATTTGAGTTTCAGGAAAAAAAGAAAGGAAAAAGAATATTTCATTCTTGCTCATGTTAGTTCCTATCAAGTTGTGCATCTGTTCTGACATCTATGTCAACTGGGTTCATATTTGGATATAAAACCATGTTAGGGTGATGCAGAAATTTCTGGTGTGTTCGTTTAATGAAAGGAATTCCTTATGAATCAAAGCGGTAAAGAATGGTAACATGAAGAAGAGAAGAAGACATTTACACAATTCAAGCCCAGATTTTGTTAAACAAGTAGTTCTACAAACTTCCAGGGAAGACCAAACTTAAGACACCCTAAACAATAACCTCCATGATTCAAACACATTATAAGTTGTGTTAAAAATATGAAGGGGAGGAAAAATAATCAAACCTGGGGACACTTCCACCACGACGCAAGTCATATTCAGTAGCTTGCCGAAGAGCTCTAGCAAACGCCTTGAAAGTTGCCTCAATGATGTGATGAGAATTTTTTCCAGCGAGCTGTGACCAGACAAACTCAAACATCTTATTATGTAAGCACATAAAACCAGAGTAAAGAAGGGAAGAAAAATAGGTAAGTGACCCAAAAAATGAACCCCCCGTCCCTTTCCACCGTCCCAATAACCCCCTAAAAAGTCATACAAGCATTTACCTGCCGAATATGGAGCGTCATTCCAGACGTGTTGACCAAGGACTGAAAGAAGTGTTCCACCAGCTAAACATAAGAATGCGATTCAAATCAGCGGGATCCAAAGAGAAGCTATAGAAATGAGCGAAAACTTAGACAAAGCTTAAACAATTAATATTTTGTCGCCAGGAGAACATAAAATTGCTTTCTTTTCTTAACTATAATAACAATTAGGTGTAAAAGTTTTCGGCATGTACACCTGATGTTGGCACATGTTCTAAAGAGACCAAAGGCCTTAACCTGGTGCAACGGGACAGACTGCAACAGAGTAGAGAGCAAGGAGGAATGGGGATTAGAAACTTGAAACTACAGATTTATAGAGATACAATATGGAGATCAAGTTCTTTGGAAGAATGTGATCCAACAGAAGTATGGGAAGAATGTACAATGGTGTACTAATGAGGTCACAAACACCTTTGGAGTAGGGGTCTGGATAACTAGCAGGTCCTTTTGGACATCCCTGAGGTGGAATATAAGTTACTATATGGGCAATGGTAGAAAGATACTCTTCTGGAAGGAAAATTGGATCCGAAAGGAACTTTGCAAGAAACCTTCCCTGATCTGTTCTTTATATGCACCAATTCAGATACTAGTATACTACAATAGGAGAAATTTGGTCACCACAGGGATGGAATATAGTTTTCAGGAGATTACTGTATGATTGGGAAGTGGAAAGGGTGGCTGCACTGTTAGAAAGGGTGGGAAGTTTTACTGGGATGACTACTGATCCTGATATCATCAGATGGAGGCACAATTCAGATGGGCAATTTTCAGCTAACAGAGTGTACAAGACTATATGAACTGGCAGGAAGTTTAAAGGGTCCTTGGAAAGCTATTTGGAAAAGCATGGCACCATCATAGGTGAAATGCTTTTCATGGCTGGTGGTGAAGAAAGCATGTCTCACTCTTGAAGCAGTTAAGAGGAGGAAAATTCAGATAGCATCTAGATGCCCTCTTTGTATGGAGGCAGAAGAAACTAATAGACATTTGTTCCTACATTGTAAGGTAACATCACAAGTCAGGGATCTTTTCATCTGTTTGGCGAGGGAGGAATGGACATGCCAAAACACACTGCAGATATACTGAGCTGCTGGACCAGACGGGGTGGAAACAAGAGTAAAAAAAAGTGGTGGAGAATAGTGCCAGCTTGTGTTTGGTGAAACATATGGAAGTAGAGAAATGATAGGATCTTTGAAGGCAGATCCTGTTCCACACAAAAGAACAATTGTAACTGTATTACTTCTTTGTGTTTTTGGTGTAAAGAACAATGTATAGAAGAGGAAGTACAGATGGTGAACTTCTTAGGAGTTCAGTAATTAGTTTCTCCTTCTAAAATCATATTTTGGAGGTGGCCAACATACCCTTAATGCTGAGGAATACAAGTTACCAGTTTCAAGAAAAAAATTTAAAAAATTACAGGGATTGATTACCTATCAAATTATACATAGTAAAATTAGACAACACAAAACTTCTTCTATCTTAACAACTTAAATTGGATTAACCAAATTCAAACAGATGATAGTCATGAAGACAACCTTTCTAAAACTGGGGATATAGAAAATCACCCATCTACCTTACAAGAGACAACTGCTAATTCCCAAAAGAAGTCAAGTGACGAAGGAACTTGGAGATACTGAGTGTGTTCGTAGTAGAATGAGAATGTTAGACAAACCTGAGTGTCATATGTTCCAACTCTCTGAGTAGGTATTTGTACATCAAAATTCAAATGTGGCCTTCCTGATAAATCCTACAATAATTAGATATCAAATAATTATTTTAAGTGCAGATTATGATCATAGATAGGTCAATATGATTTTATTTGATAAATCGTGACATTTTATTAATATCTCACTAGGTAGGTGTGACTGTAACAAAATGAAACAATATAGTTATGCCTTTGTATCCCCAAAATTGTATCCAACAATTTACACAAACAAGAATTTCCTCTTTACACCATAAGACAGCCAAAACACCATAGAGTATTCAATTTTTGTCTAAATTCAATGTCCTGTAATTGCTTTCCCTCCACAAGAACCATAACACCACGGGACTGTTTCAAACTTCTTTTTTTAGCATCCAGTCTGCATAAAAAAATGAATACCTGAAACCAAAGAAATATTTGCTCCCATACCAGAGAAAATATTCATCTTGTCTAATCATTTCTTTTTTGATGACAAGGGAAACCCGCAGCCACTAACCTTTGGGTGCGCACAGGGTAAAACCCCCGCTCCTATGCAATAACTCGCAAACCACACATGAGAGGTAACCTGCACTAGGCAAGCCAGGTGTGATGAGATCGACCCAGAAGGCAAACCCATTGCTTTTGCTGGCAAGGGGTTTTGAACTTGAGACCTCCAAAATGGAAGTCCCAGGACTAAACTACTGGGCCACCCCTTGCTTGTCTAATCATTGAATGCAGAAGATTATATGAGGCTACGTTCCAAGTGAAAGAAAGAAGAATTTATAGATCTTGCTTTATGGAGGTATGCAAAAATTCTGCCATAGTGGTTACTTGAGATGTAATCTTATTTATAGTTGTAATTTTGCAGGAGGCTGATAGGGCAATATCCTTCAGACACAGAATATCTGACAAAATAAGTGACTGAGCTGAAACAATTTCAAGTTCCCAAAAGGTTATCCCTTACCAGTGAAACATGAACCAGAGCTTCATCTAATGGAGCTGAGAAGTCACCAAAGCGATTGATTCCCTTTCTATCGTCAAGTGCTTGCAACAATGCCTGGATAGCCCAAAAAATAAAAGCAGAAGTCACCAAAAGATAGAAGTCAAGGCTCTCAAGAGAAAGAAATAAGGAATGCAGCACACAATGCAGAGTGACTCAAGTAAATAAAAGAGCATCTCCATCAAAATGGATGTTGCACCCACTTGTGTACATATAAAATGAGTAAAGAGACCAACACATGGAAAGGACACAAGGAATTCTGAATATACTTCTAAATTACTGGTTTTAAGCTCCCTGAGAACTCACAGTTCCAATGGCAAGTGCGACATCTTCATTTGTGTGGTGATCATCAATGTGAATGTCCCCAGTAGCTTTTACATGCACGTCGAACAACCCATGTGAAGCGAGTTGCTAAGAAAACACAAACAAGTTTCAGTACTAGCACAATACCAGAAGTAATTATAGATGTAGTCAGCAACTGAGTTGAGAAGTAGAAATCAAATAGCTCCTTCTCCACATCCAGCAATGTAAATTAGGTTGTAAACTTCACAAAACTTATATCATAAGAAAGTAGAAAATTAACATGTAATTGAAGGAGAGAACAAGGAATTTTCAACTATTGAATTGTGTCAGCTCGTCTTCCAGAAAGAAACAAGATAAGATCACAGCATACAAATGCAATCCTTCTCCTATTATTCCGCAGTTTTTTTTTTTGAATGGTCTTCCTGAATAAGAACTGTTGAAACAAAAGGGATAAATGAACCTTTTTTTTCCTTTGAGGTAAATCTCTATAATTACTACTCCCTCTGTCCCAATTTATATGACCCATTAAGTTTGATCGAGAATTTGATCATGGAATCTTCAAATTTTTAAAAATAAAATTTATATATTTGTAAACTATGTAAAAGGTAGTATAAGTCACAACAATTGATAATTCAAAATACTTAAAAGATATATGAAGAATTTACGGTCAAAGATAAACTTGTTTGAATCTCGAAATCTGAAATGTGTCCCATAAATTGGGACAGAGAGAGTATTTCTACGGCCTAACAGGGGAACAGGATTTCAACAAAGTTCATATTTTTGCCCAAAAGAAAAGGAGCAGTCCAAACAATTATTTATTGCTCAGGATGTTTAACCTTTTTCCGAGATATGTTCGAGTACAACACACCAGGATACAGGATCCAAGAAATTTAGCACGTTTTGCCCTCTAAAAGCTTAGACTGTTAGGTATGGGACATTATTTACTAAATCTGCAACACACTCTCAAGTGTGGACCTGAATTTTTTTCCCCAAGTCAAGTTCGTGTATTTTTTTCTATTGGAGGATGGAGAGACTTGAGCCAGATACCATGTTAAATGATGTGTTCCCCCATGGAACACTTCTGTTATTTATTTATCAACAATGGCAAAAAACATACCAGTGTAATCCCACAACTGAGGTCTGGGGGAGGATGGTGTGTACACAGATCTTAACCCCTACCTTGTGGAGGTAGAGAGGCTATTTCCGAGTTATTTATCAATTAACTAACAGGTGAAAAAAAATTGTCTTTTCATCAGAAGAAATATCACTTACATCCAACATGTGATCAAGAAATGGGATCCCAGAATTATTCTCCGCAACACCTGTTCCATCCAAGTTTAACTTCACATGCACATTCGTCTCTTTCGTAGTCCTCTTCACTTCCCCAATTCGACCTATCAAAAACCCAACAAATACATCAACCAACTTTATCTCAATACCTTACTAGTTAAAGGCAGCTACATAAACTTCATTCAGCACATTTCCTTACAATTCTATCAAAACCCATTTCAGATTAAAAAAATAACATAAACCCAATTCCCAAAATCACAAACCCAATAAAATACATCAATCGCTGCACCTCAATCCCAACTATTCATAATCGATGTATGAATTCACTATAAAGAAACCCACTTTGATTTTAAAAAAAGTGTAATCCCACCCAATTTAAAAAACCCATTATTGAATTGAGAAAATGGAGTTACCTGTTTCCGAGGAAGTTATGGAAGACCCATTATCGAAAGCATGAGGAATCGTTGTTTGAGGTTCCATTGAAGTAGCTAGTTTGTGGTGTAAACCAGTGAAAAATTGTAACTTTTGGTGATGATTGTTTAAGGAGAAGAGATGGGTTTGTGAAAGCTTAATTCTTGAATTGAATAGCGAAGGTAGTGATGAAGAAGAGTTGAAGAGACGATGAGAAAGTGATAGCTCCATATGTGAGAGACGATTGTGAGCTCCGTTTCGACCAAAAGGCATCGTTAGCTCATAATTATGTCACTTACTAAAATTAATTACTATATTTAAAAAAAAAAAAGTTTTTTGATAAACTACTATAATAATCTTTTGTCTGATTTTTACTTGATTTACTACTTTTTTTTAATCAATTACGCCTTCCACTCATTCACCAAAATTTTAGACAAATAAAAAGAATTCATCTAATTTTGTTTTTGATCAAATTCATACATTAGCTCTCAAGATCATTACAAGAGCAAAAAATTGATAATATATATATATAATGACAGTTGACCTTCTTTTAGTAAATTTTTCGAAGACTATAGTTATAGCGATCCTGCTATTTAACTATTTTGACCATTTTTAAATATCTCATTTCTTTTTTTTGATGTTTAAAGATTCGATCATTTTTGTATGATTTCTCTAGCGCGGCCACATTTCTTTCCACCACTAGGTCACTCTTGTTGGGGGATCACAATTTTGTTCTATTTTAAGTATAAATAATTTTATGTTCCTTTTCTTTTCCTACACAAACTTTGATGCTTTTCACTATAAAATTACACTCTTCCTTGATAATCAAATTGAGTTAAGTCTTGGTTTGAAGTCTTTCAAGATGTTGGTTAAATCAATTTCGTTAAAACGTTACACGGAGTCGGGAAGTTACCTTTCAAAGATGAAACAAATATTAATACTAATAATTTATGTTATTCAAGTGTTTATACGACCCACGAAGAATATACAAGAGAGATTTCCTTGAATTATAAAGAAACTAGCAACAAACAACTTTTGTTACTCAGTTGTGGAGACACATTTTAAAGATCCAAAGTAGCCTAAGAAAAAGAAATACCATACAAATTCTGATAGAAACATATCATAGGTTGTATTTATTGTTTTCAAGAACTACTACCATTTCCACAATCCACAACCTGGCATAACACTTCGTTGTTTCCTGTTCTTTGAAAGAATCAACTTATTATGTCTCCGTTCTTCCTCGGAAGTAGAGAGGGTTTTCCCTCTCTTGAGCCTTTGAAATCCTTGGAGATACGTCCTTCTCTTAACAACACCATGGAGATAAGGTATTAAACCTGTGTATGCATCCATCCCAGATCTCTTGTATGCCATGATTTGAATTTGCAGTTTTGACTACTCTAATAAGATAGATATGGTCATTTATAGGGGTGGGGGGTGGGTGGGGCAACAGAACAAAGTAGACAAGCCTGCACGTCCTGTGTGTTTGTTGCCAATTTCTGAGTTACCATTTACCAGTAAAGAATATAGCAAACAAGTCAAAAGTACATGTATCCGTGTGCATAAAAGATGTCAAACTTCATCCACATCCATCCTTACCAGACAAGAATTTGGGACAGATTCCATCTTACAATTATTTGGTCAGTTGTTGTGACAACATATATATAAGCATAAATTTCCATTTTCCACATTCAAAGATTCTAGATATCTACCTTAAGTCTAATATATCGATAATAGATATAGATAACAAACGGAACGAAATACAAAAACTGGGTAAATCTGCTGAATTAAACACTACAAATAGTGGAAGTATCAACAGGAACTTAAAAACCATAAAATATGTGAAAAATATGTACCTTACAAGAATCTGTGTCGCTAGCAAGATCAGGCAGAGTCCTAATAAGAAGCAATTACGGGGATCTCATCATGAAGAAGTTAACCAGAAACTTGGATATTTGGTGATATTATCATTTCAATTGATGAATTACAAGGATATCTGAGGACCTTGGTAACAGAATATTAGATCTACACAAAACTACATATGTACATTCAAAATCTTTGTTGGTGTCTCTCACCAATGGAGTCCACAAGGTTCACAAAATTTGCTGCCGTATCCATGAGGTACAATTCACATACCCTTTTGATAATGATACTACTAATAGGCTGGTGATTGTACCGCCAAACTACTACCAGACAGACACTCCATTATGCTGATAGATCGATAAAGACAATTTCCATTACACCAGCTCCTGAAGGGCTCTGAGTGTCTCAATTTCCACAGATGGTTTAGGACATTGGTTTCAGAGCATCCAATCAAAAGCTGCTATACATTTCTGAAACCCTCCACCTAGATGACAGCAGAGAAACTGCACAACTTCTAGACCAATTTTTTTATAATTGCCTTCCTGAATAACTATTTCCTTCTTTCCCTTTACGACATAACCCACTGAAGAATCAAAATTGGTTTGATTGACAGAACACAAACAGCTTCAGGAACGTGAGATGACCTTGATTACCCAAAAGTAGTTCAGGAGAGGAAACAACTTCGTAGGAGACCTTGTACAAAATCCGACATCAAGCTTACGTTGATTACCGTGATGTTTAAGTAAGCATAGTCAGTGTGATTAGCATCAATAGGCCTAGACCAGAGTCTAAATCTTTTCTTCAGCAGCAAGTTCTGCAGAAACATCAGCAGAAGAATCAACAGTTCCACTGCAACTGCCCGCTACAGTTACTTCATGAGTTTCTGCCCGACCAGGATCAGAGTGAACTATCTTCTCATCAAGAGAAACTTTTGCTTCAGAACAGCCATCAGAAGGGTTCAAGCCACATGCTTGAGATCCAGGACAGAGAGAAAGTTGACAGTCCATGTTATTTTCTGGGGCAGCATTCAAAGAAGTTTCAACCGAGGAATCAATTGCAGATTTAGAAGAAGAAACTTCAGCACCATTATTGTCATTAACTCCATCACCAATTGGAGAGGCATCCAAATTACCCTCTTCCAGGGAAACATCTCCGTCATCAAGACGTTTAATATCAGAAGTTTGCTTTAAAACCACATTTCGCCCATTCTGCACGCCAGGTGTACTTGGTTGAGTAGAGTCTGAGAGGACATCTATGGAAGGCTTTGTACTCTCACAAGTTGCAGAGACACATACTGAAACTTTTGTCTTGTCAGTTTCTTCTTCTGCACTTGGTGCAGCAGGTTCTTTAAAACAACTAGCTTTGGTATCTGCCGATAAACCTTTCCCATTGGCATCAATGGAAATATTATCTGAAACCTCCTCATTCTGTTTCTCTACCTCAATGTTTCTGGCAGAAGCTTCATCCAATGAAATGCACAATTTTTGATGGACCGGCTCAGATGACTGGTCATCAACTTCTGTGGAAGGACCCAATGAAACATCTCCCGAATCAGTGTTTCCTATACTTGGACCGGAAGGAGAGGAGGGCCTTGATTTTGTGGTCGATTCAGGCAGCTTCTTCTCCATATTGCATTGGACAGATGTAGCCTCCTTAGTGGAGATTTGAATATCTGATCCACAATCAGCACTTTCTGTTCTAACCAAAGCACTATCACTTAAATCAACAGGTGTAGATAGAGAATCAGAAGCACCAACACCGTCATCAACTTTTTCTATGCAGGCTTGATCTTGCAAGTTCCCGTCGCACTTAGTAGGGGAGTCGGAGTCCTTATCAGCTTTTTCAACCAAAGCAGGCAACCGAGGAACACTATGTTTTGAATCACCAGCATTTATACCAGCTACAGAAAAATCCAGAAGTTCAAATCACAAACATGGACAGTAAAGATTAAAAGATAAAAAAAAAATTCCTAAAAAGGCCAGCAAAAAGTAAAAGCAGAAATTTAATATTATATTACCCTCTAGGGTCTCTCCATTTAGTAACCTCTTTTGTAGCATATCTGTCCCAGGAAACACCAACATATTGATGGACTTCATCTCTAGCCTCTGTGATTCCTCAAGTGGATTAAATCCAAAAACTATGGTCCAAGTATGCATATGCTCAGATATAGCAGGAATAATCAACTTCTGAACTTTCAGTGTGGAGAGGACCTGAAAAAATGAGACCACAAATTAAACTGTTGGTCTGCAGTCCAATCTTGACGACCAAAATACAAAGAACATAATCAACATGCAATCACATAATGCCTGACTAACCGAAGCAGATGCATGTGACAGCTGGAAAAGGTATGACATGCATTTATTAACCATCCCGAAAAATCACTTGTACTGTTAGCAAGCATAAAGAAATTCAAGTCTTAAGATGTCCTACATATATATCCCCATTAATGGGAGATGAAAGCAGCAACAGGAATGAACAGAATTTCAAAACGGATGAAGCGAGGTTCCTGTCCCTTCTTTCACAATGTCACCATTTTCTTTCGGTAAGAATACAGCTGTCCAATGCTACTTAGCTTCTTTGGAGACTAACTCTTGGGAACTTACGGACATTCTTATATATTCAAATATTAATTCAAGAACTAGATAGTATTACTTTTCTTCTAGAGCATCAGGTATTACAACATTTCCTTACGCATCATACATTTCCACACGACTATTTGCTTTTTCATGTTTCTTACATACACATCAAGTGATTGCAGTTGTAGCTGTCACTTTGATAAAGTGCTGAATTAAATTATCTGTTTGCTACTTCTGAAGACCAGCACTGCAACGGAAAAGAAATTAGGATGTCCTTTGCTCCAATAAATCCTTTGGCGTAAACAAAATGATGACTCTCAATAGCTCATTTTATAATTGCATAGCAATGAATGCACATGAAAGTACATGACATATCTCAATGATCTCTTATGTACACAACCATCTTCAAAACAATTAGATGAACAATGTGAGGAAGCAATAATTATTCTTATACCGTCTCAATAGCAGACAGCAACCGGCGGCACATCCCTTGGCGCCTATATATATTCCTGGTCCCAATGTACGGCATTTCTGCAAGTTGAGTTCCATGGATCCTAAATTACAGCCAAAACATGTTTATTGATTGGTAAGGCACGACGGAACAAACATGAGCAAAAAATAAGAAAAAAGTTAAACAAGAAATTATCTAACAGGACAATTTAATTTGAGAGAGTGATGAGTAGAGAGGTTCCTTTACATGGATTCTCCAAAAAAAAAAATCTTTACATGAAAGTCAAAAAAAAAAAATAAAATTGCTTCTGAGAGTAATTTGGAGCAGTAGCTGACATTGAGATACATTCAGTTAAATGCTGGCAAAAAGGATGGTCCACTATTGCAATAAATTCTAAGACTAATTGATAAGCATAATTACATTTCATTAAAGATCATAAATCCCAATGCAAGGAACACAATCGCAAGTTCTGAGACAGTTCAACTGTACAACATATCCACATCCACACTCATGCACCAACTCTATCATTATATGAAAAATAAACTTGAACTTTTCAAATGCAAACGACTTGAGCAATCCAGTATACCTTATGGATGCAGCAGATATTATTTCATCACCCCTTTCCAAGATTGCCGTATAGAAGCCATGAAAATTCAGCCGGGTAAAGTTTGAGCTTCATAGGAAAGAAAAACAGCATCAAATAACTGCTGAATAATACAGCCAAATTCAGAGAAAAGGAAAAAGGGAAAGAACTCTGAACACAACAACCAGGTAAAAGACGAATCTAAAAACACACAAGCACATCCTGCAAAACCATAAAGAAAAAATAGGGAAATATTGTTCTCAGACATCAAAATAGAAATCGCATGGCTAAATTGACAATTCGGCTTTTGATTTCCAAACAAGAGATAAGGGTTGACCCAATAAAATCAATATATTTCCCTCAATGGTGATTCAAAAACCCAATCCGCAAAAATAAAAGAAATCATTTGTTCTAACAGCAACAGGCAACAATATTATAAAGAATCACAAAGAAGGAATCGACACATTCCCATGAATATGGCTTTTAACATCACAGTGCCATTTGGGGTTTCTTTGGTGACAGAGAAAAGGCGTGGGCATAATCTATTTGTAATTAGATTTCTAAGAAGATAATCTCTGTATTTCAAGGCAGAGTCTACAAGGAAGATAAAGAGTGGTGCATTTGCTAAAGAGTGCTGCAAGTTAAGGAGATAAGAAAAGGCAACAGAAAAAAGCATATTCAGTAATTTTCTACTATGTTGACAGTTTATGAGCATCAGCCAAGGACAAAAGATGTGAAATAAGAAACATTATACTCCCTCCCCTCTCAAATTGAATTTCCTGCTTCACCTTTGGAAATCAATCAGACCAGTGTAATAGCCTTCCGTCTTCTGGGATATTAAAAGTGTTTTTTTTTTCTTTCTTAAATGCTTAACTGGGAGATTTATGATATTTGCTTAAGCTTCTGGAGAAAAAGTGCTTTTGAGTAGTAGCAGAAATGTTTTTTGACGTGACGACAAAAGTTGTAAAATAATAAACATTGTACTCTCTCCCCTCTCAAACTGAATGTCCAGCTTCACCTTTTGGAAATAAATCAGACCAGTTTAAGTAATAATAGCCTTTTGTCTTCTGGTATATTAGAAGTGTTTTTTTTCAAATGCGAAGATTTATGATGTTTGGTCAAGCTTCTGAAAAAAAAAAGTGCTTTTGAGTAGTAGCAGAAATTTCATTTGTCGTGAGGATGAAGTTTGATGAAGGTAGCTTCTCCTCAGAAGCAGAAGTAGAAGTTGTTTTTAACTTTTACGGGACAGATATGTAGTTACAAAACATTCATATTTACCAAACTATCCTCAATGGGCAACAATGCACTTTCCACAGCACATTTGTGACCAAAGTCTCATAGACTTTCTCCCTATGTATATTGTGATTTTAATTGTTGAATTATAATTCAATGAAATTTAAAAAAAAAATGATAAAACACTCGCATAATAAATAATTCAAATCCTCTATTTCATTCTCAAATTCGATCTTCATTCTAATACTAAGTATTTGGTCTTTTAAAACAAGTAATTTTCTAAAACTTTACATTCTAACATCACAAACTTACTGTTATATGGACATACAAGTCTTTAATAAGAATAAACGTCCTCCTCACAAGCACCGGACGTAACTTGAGTAAGTGTATCAAGAACTAAACCTTACTTTCAATTAGCTGGTATTTCCTATATAGATCCCATGCTTCCAGTGTGTTCTTTGTTTGCTAAATCTGTACTGATCCTGAATTTTTTTTCTTTGATAGTGAATCCATTCCCTTTTGCCACATTCCATTACCTTAATTTTTCACACCTATGAACCTCTGCATCTAGAGGATATGTCTATTTTATCTCAAGTGACCTCCTCGTGCTTTATCTTCTATGCATTACTTGCATCCTATATGTGATGTGATCATTTTTTATCGTATATGACCGTACATCCATCTTCAAATTAGTATATCTATGACATTTTACATTATTAGTAAATGCTGATATTAAATCATTCAGCCAGCTTAATGAAGTTAATCAAAAATAACAGGTCTTCAGTATTTATCATAACATTTACAAAAGTACAACAGGGCATATAGAAGGTAAAGAGATTATTACCCGCAGTTATAAAGAACATTATGAATAATATTGATGCCACTTTTCCTATCCACAATCGGCAAAAAACATTCATCCATAACAGCCAGTGCAACAGCTAGTTTAGAATTGCACTCCACCCGTTGAGAAAAGGCATGATGAGAATGATCAGAGTCTAAATCCGTTCGTTGAATTAGGGACCATGAGAATCCAGCTTCAATCTCATGTTTGACACCAAGAATCTTCTGCAGATGATCATACAGCTGCAAAAATAGAGAAGAGAAATGAGTCAAACTATTCTAACATATCCTGTGAGAGATGGCGACACAGACTATCTCAGCTCAATAAATAGTTTCATTACTTTCGAGCTTGAAACAGTATCGGACTCTCAGAGAAAAAATTATAATTTCAGGACACACAATATTCACCATTTACTGCATGTTTCTCAATAAAATAACAGAAGTCCAACTGAATTTGCTACCAAACTGGTAGTTTTGAAGATCATGCATTTGCATAATGGTAACTTTCTGAGAGAAAAATAAACTCCAGTTAAGGCTCTTGAGCAACCAGTAAGTAATCAAGGATAGTAGACAAGGAGAAGGGGGTCTAAATTCATCCATCTCATTCATGCCTCCCCACAGTATTAAACTGTTTGGTTTTGTCAATTCAAGCCTCAACAATCCAATTGCATTTTCCTCTCTACTCCGTTTCTAAGTTCCATATGGCAATTTCAGGTTCCTGTTCGGCTTTGATTGTACAGATCGCTACCATTACTTTCAGAAATTTATCTTCCAGGTCTAAGTTCAAGACTACAAGCTACAAAGAGAGGATTTAGCCCCATGTTCATGGTGGTTAGTTCAACAGATGCTAACCGTGCAATACTTGGTATGAGGCATTACATTTGTTTTTTGCAGCAGTTCTCATTAGCAGATCTGGAGCTTGTTCTTGAACCTTCTATAGGTGCAGCGGGCTACACGAAATACAGTGGAAGGTGTATTGGAAAGCTGGCAAGGGCAAATGTTAAAGAAGTCCTTGAAATACTTTATAGAGCAGTTCCTGCATGCACTCTATGGAACATTTGGACGGAATGCAACCATAGATCTTTTAAATTCTAGACATTCAACTCTTGGCATAAAATGGTCAATGTAACTGATGTTGATCTTCTCATGAACTTTCATTAACTCCTTACTTTAAAAAAAAAGAGCAATTGTCCTCTGATTTTTGCGCATCTCTGCACTTTCTTGGTGCTACAAATTTATTAACATTTTCACGTCCAAAAAATGGTAACTGTATTAAAAGAGCAGGCACCAAGAAGGTGCTCAAATATATGCAGGTGAACAAAAAGCAAAAGAAGAATCCATCCCCAATCTTTTACTTTCAAAAAAAAAAGAGGGGTGAGTGAACTTTCCAATTGAGTCATTTCTTGAGATTGTTCCTATTGGTACCAAGTCGTTAAAGCACCTTATAGAGGAGATGATTGGTTAGCTACAATTTGTCAGTTTGACAAGGCCAATAATAGATGGGCTAGGTTCTGTTACCTGGCGTATATAGTAGAGAGGGTCCTTTGCAGTCATGTTTAGGAGCTTATCAGGGAGAGAATTGGATAATGATACCATGTTGGTATGACAATGCCAAAAGTGGAACCTAGTTTTGGTTTCTTCAAATAAAATGGAGAAGAGAGAGTAAACCCCAATTCATGTTTAGAATCCACTATCCAGAGTGTATCCCCCTATGGTATACTATAATCAAAAGAGTGTTCCTCTTTATTCACTGTATATAACTGCTACATTCTCACTAAGTAATAAATTTACAAGCCTAGTGAAGTTAGGCTCTTCACATGTAGAATTGGTACCACGAGGTATCCTTGGCTCAAGCAAATTAGAAACTCAAGGTTTACATTCCGCAGCAATTAAAAGGACTTGGATGACTAAACAAAAGAAGGTTACAGATACAGACTCCTTTAAGAGAGATCTACTAGGATTTACAATCCATGATATCAGACTTCAGAACACAAATATGCACATTACAGTGCTGCGGCCAATTAAAAGGATGGGTGGTTCGTTGAAAACAGTGTTTCAAGAAGAAATAAAGAAACAATTCAGACAAAACAAGCTGACTCTGGGATTCATATATTATTTCAGGGTTGAAGTCCAAATTTTTGCCTTTTTTAGCTGTGTTTGCATCATATTTGGCTAGCAGATCTTTTAAAGACCACAGCCTTTCAGTTGGATCAGTTTTATAGTCCCTAAAGTTTTTTCAGTCCATTTCTTCCTTTACTCTTGTTTATTGTCTATGCAATTAGTTGCAGAGTTTTGATTCTCAGCTTCTTCGCTCTTCCAACAGCATGTCAAATCATTGTGCCGATTATATTAACATTCATAGATCACAAGAAAGAACTTCCAGTCTGTGCTTCTTAATTTAAAATCCTCACTTGATTTTTTTTCCCCTCTTGATTTCCTTTATATGCTCTCAATTTTTCACTTGAAAGGTATTCTAATATCCAGAGAACTGAAAGATGCCACAGACATGGCTTGTGTCTATACCATCCAGCAGGCACTTAGGGGTCGTTTGGTAGGGTGTATAAAAGAATTGCTAAATAGAGTGTATTAGTAATGCTTGTATTAGTTATGCTTGCATTAATTATACATAGATTATTTCTTATGCATTGTTTGGTTTGGTGTATTAAAAATAGCATGCATTGCATAAAAATGTATATTTACAAAGATATCCTCCACAATTATGGTGGAAAAGATGTGAAAAGGGTTTTGAGGGGTAATTGGGTCTTTAACCATGCTAATCCATGCATTAAATCCCCTTGCATTACTAATACCTAGAAATTCATGGTATTAGTAGTACACACCTTAATACACAATAGAGTGTATAACTAATTGCATAAAAAAGTGTACCAAACAAAGTATTGCTAATACACAGAGCTAATGCATGCATTATTTTTGCTAACCAAACGACCCCTTAATGCGGAAGAGCACATTTTTGCTTTTCAACTCAGCTTCTTTGGCAAGAGACTGAAAGTGAGACATGTAATGACAATGACCAATTTCAATTCTGAAGGTTCTAAAGCTTGGGTGATCATGACTGCATTTTTCAACACATGGATGGACTTTATGCCAAATGTTATTTGTTTGATATGAAGGTAAATGACAGTTAACTCCATTAGAATTTGTGACAGTACAACAATTGAAAAATAGTGAACAATGAAGGTTGATAAAAGAAATACCTCTTGGCATTTCTTCCCGCAAAACGATACAGATGGACTATTAGAACTAGAGGGTATAGCATTCATATCCAGACTGCATGATTTATGATCTGCAAAATGGAAGTTCAATAATTCAGCTCAGTTATAGAAGATGTAAAGCAACTAAACCTCCAAAAGCAAAACATCTTTACATTTTTTCTCACAGAGGCTGCACCAGCGAAGCTCATCTACAGCTCCCTCATCTTCCTCTGTGATAGTACTGCCGGTGTTACAAAATTTGCATGTGCAATTTGGACAGAGCCAATCGCCTGGAGGAAGCATCTGCAGAAAAAAGAAACATGTGAGCCTGATGCTTAGAGAGACTAGATTTCATCTTCTAGGCTGAATTCAAAGAAGCACATAAATAATATTATAAAGAAACAGAAAATTTCAAAATCCCAGTCTGCATATGTTGCATCTTTTGGAGATGCCTAGGTAGAGTTTGATGTTCTAAGAAATACTTATCCTAATCAATGTTCATTTCCATATTACACAATCAGTTCTGGTGATATTTATGCACTTATCTTTCTTTCCATTCTTTTAATGATACAAACAACAAACTAAAACAGTCTTGCAGATGGAAGGGAAGAGGACGGAGTTATTTTTGGAATGATTTACTGATCGGTTTCACCGAACAGTTATGCTATAACGATGTCTGTTGACAGATGTTGAAGCAAGATCAAGAAACAAAATGGGCTAGATTGCATACTGTTGTTGATTGACTTCTGTCACATAGCTCCTTAATGGTTGCATTTATGCATGAGATTTAGGGGCATGTGCACTCAATAATTTCAGATAATCAAACAGCACATGGAGCTCAAGTCTGTTGACCAAGATGGTGGTAAAGAAATCATAAAAGGGAATAACTATTCCTAGAAACAAGAAGGGAACAGATGCAGATAAAGTACTAAAGTACACTGATCTGTTCACAAAGAGCTACAAGACAGCCAAAAACATTATTGTTAATAAGTAGAGGAACTTTTTCAATTACAGGAGTGTCCTGGCCAACTTGCACGCAGCTTGTCTGATCCACCAAGTACCTGTTGCCTCCCACCAGCATAGGTACCGATAGTAACTCTGACTGGCGAGACTTAGTCAGAAGGTAAGAAATAACCTAGTGCTTTTTGCCTCTATGGGATTTGAACCTGAGACCTCATGGTTCTCCTCCTGCTTCATTGACCACTAGGCTATACACTTGGGTGCTTAAGTATAAGACTTTCATCATAACTTAAGTTCTTACAAGTGTCTTTTTCTTTTTGAACTTGGAGCAGAGCCATCGTCTTGTCTTTTCTTTTTCAACTCAACAGGATTGTACTTTTTCCTTTCCATTTTAACCAGTTCGTTCTGTTCAGTTATTGTACAAATCACATGGATGTGATAAAAGTGAAACCATTTATTGGAAACTACATATCTTGTAGATCAGTTGTATATCGTTGCAAGATGATCTCAAAAGACATTGCTTCCTCCATTTCTGACTTTCTGTAACCTGGTTCTTTCTATAGTTCTATTTTATCATAGGACTATGGTGGTTTCTCAAATGGAAATGTTAGTATCAGTCTCTATCATTTTGACCTTCCCCACAACCAAGCTCTGTTCTTTATTGTTTGTCTTCCATCTCCTCAGTAGTTTTAAAAGTCGAATTTCCTAGGATAAAGGACACTTTAAGATTCTTGCACAAAGGAAAACAAGAAATTCATACATTTAAAATGTGAGGAAACTACCCTTATTACCAAGTATAGACAAAAAGAAAAGATGACAATATCTTTCATATTTACCACCACAAAAAAAATAATTAAAAAAATAATAATGCACGAAGGCACAGTACTAATTAAGAGGGGAAACATGCTAACAGTGAGCAAAAAAGCATATTCTACATACTTGTACACCCAGACAGCTTTGATGAAAAGTCGAAGGGCAGCCATCACAACACATAAGGTCCCCACCATCACCACATCTACCACAAGTATCATCATCAGGGTCATCACTGTCGGCGTTTACAGTGTGGAAATCTTCGCGATCAGATTCTCCTTGCTGATTCCATGCATCAACCAAGCACTCCAGCAAAGAAACACCAGACTCCAAGATTATGTTTTGATATGGTTGACGCAATGTACTTCCTGCATGCAGCTCAAATTTTGAAACTGGAAGAATTTTACTACAGCAACCACAGTGGATGCCATCTCGTGTTATCCAACCTTCTAGCTTTACTCTGGTCCTCCTACGATTCATATATTGAACCTTCTGACTTAACTTCGCTGTCCCAGAGTCGATCATCCAGGCCAATAAGGTTCTCTTTCCAGTATAAGGAACATAGCCATCGCTTTCAGAATCTTGCTCCTTATCAGATCTGCGAACCAACAATGTACATCGCCCAATTATCCTACTTTTTCTTCCCTGTATTTCACTGGAAGCAGCTCCAATAGATGATTTTCCGGACATATCTTGCCTAGATCTTCCTCCCTTTGAAGAATCGTCACTTGTATCACCATCAGTCTCCTGATCTGTTGCATGCGACTTGCATTTCAGAAACTTACCTTTCTTCTTTACATAGCTACTTAGTCTTTCCTCATGCTGATCATCATCTGTGTCCTCTGCAGACTCTTGCATAGTAGACTTCATGTAATCTCGGTTCTTGGCATCATCTTTTCTTTTCTTTTTCATTTCTTTCTCAATCTTCTTCCGTGTTTGCCTGGTTAGCTTATTGATTAAATCATCAGCTAATGGAGCAAACGAAGTAGAGTCACCATCAAGTTTACTTTTTCCTGGATCTTCCTCTGACTGTTTTTGCAGTGCATCATAAGCCTTAATTATTGACCAGTATGCCGTTCCACTAGGATTAATATACACTGCATCCAAGTAATCTCTGTTCCTTCTTGGTCTATAGTCAATGGTCCATCCAGCTTCAATAAGCATTCCTCTGATCCTCTCACGCAGTTGCTGCTTCTCAGTACTCCCACCTCGTTTCAATTTTCCTTCTTTGCTTTTGGCAGGGGTAACATTTTCAGCTGCTATGGACCTGTTTTCTTCCTTAATCACCCTAGCATTTGAGCTAGCAGGCTGAAGCTGCTGCTTATCCATACTCCCACGACGTTTCAATTTTCCTTCTTTGTTCTTAGCAGGGGTAACATCTTCAGCTGCTACAGACCTGCTTTCTTCCTTAATCCTCCTCGTCTTTGAACTAGGTGGTGCCAACTTAAGTGATGTATCAGTTCCATCATTTTCAGAGTCTATAGACTTAATGCCTTTCGCCAAGAAAGATTTTTGTGATTTCAGCTCAGCCTGCTCCGTTTTAATGGACAGTGGTCGTTTTTCAGGGCGTTTAGAATCCGAGTGCAAAGAAGCTCGGCGTAGCACATCCTTCTTGACACCATCGTCAGAACTGGAACCTTTCCTACTTTCAACATCATAATCCTTGTGTGATAAGTCTATCTTCTTCTTCTTATTCACCATTACCTTCAAGACTCCATTTTTCCCTTGAAATCTAATTGGTTCTTGAGACGATTCCCTACTCTTCAACCTAAGCAATGAAATTGGCATATGTGCTTCATCGTCATCATCAGAATCACTCCTTTCCTTAGAACTATCAATATTAGAGTGATTCCTCTTCTCAATCATCATATTCCTACTAGAACTCCCAGTTCTTGCAGAATTCCACTTCATCTCCTCATTGAATTCATCGTATTCGTCGAAATCAAACAAATCTAACTTACTTCTCTTACTCTCACTTTCAATATTCCCATTCCTACCAAATTCCCTACTTTCCACGCCACTTTTTCCACTGCCAACTGACCCATTGTGAAATTTCTCTCCACCCTTTCTCCTAATTGGTTCCAATGACTCTTCACTCGACTCCGAATCACTCTCAACCAATCTAGGCCTCTTTTTCACCTTCTGTGAACCCCTTGAAGAACCCACACCCCCTCCTCCACCCATGCCTATTCTATCATCTTTCTTCTTAATTATCAAACACCCAGATGAACTTTTCTTCTTCACTACACCTCCTGATCTCACACTACCCTCCATACTCAAACCTTAATTCATAAAGAAAAAAGATTGCAAATTCACCCCAAAAGTTCTCGAACAAACTTTCAGAAATCCAAATTCTTCGTTCAGTTATCTAACATTCACAGATCTGAAACAGAAAAAAAAAACACAACTTTTTCAATTACAAACAAAAATTAGGGGAATTTCGTTGGTGTTCAGTGAGTAAATTGGATTTGCATGAATAGAATCGACGGCGATCTTTACCTTGCCGGAAAGTTTGGGAACTGAATCGACGGCAGAATTACCTTGTTGATCCGATCAGTGACGTAATTCTCCGGCGAAGCAAGCGAATCGCACAAGAAAGATAGAGAGCAATTGTATTGATTCTGGGCTACTCTGTATATATATGAACAGAGCCCAGCTTCTTCTTTTTTTTTCTTTTTTTTTTTTTGCTATATAATATTTTATCAAAAACACAAAAAGATAAATATAAAAATAAAAAATTTACTGTAGTATACAATATTGTTATCTTTATATTAATTTTTATAGATATAGATGAAATAATTTTAGTATCTTAAAATTCTGATATTGATGCATAAGTAGTTCTAAACTGATACATTCTGTTTCTTGAACAGATAAAAGAGTTCAATTAATATGTTAATATTCTTATTTGATTCACTAATATTCATTTAGTCTCATACTCCTATTAGGTTTCCATATTTACTAAAAATAATTACTCTAAATTATTTATTAATTTACAAAATAAAAATATAATTAATTCTTTTTAAAAAAAATTACCCGATCATGATTTTTTTATCATCTTTGAGTTAATACTAGTAATCAAAGATAAAGGGTAAATTAGAAAAATTAATCATTTTATTTATGATTTCTTAAGAAGTGTGTAAAAAAATATAAAACTAATATGAAACGTAGTAAGTAGTTTCCTCACCATCCAAGATTGTAGTTGAGTGGTAATAGTTTTCGATTTTGAATTATTCTAGATACAAAATTGTTTTTATTAGAAAGCGCACAATGTTTTTTTAACTTTTTAGAAAGGCCAAACACATATACAACCCCTCTAACTTGTCCATATTTTTCATTTTGGCACTTTATCTTAGCCTTGTTTCATTTGAACTCTATTTTTTATGTTCCATTTTAACACGAAATACTGTTTTTATGATTTATTTATTTTTATATATATTCTTTAATTGCAACTTCTTATTTTAAATCGACATGTGTCATTTAATTTTAGTTAAAAAATTTAAAATTAACAAAAAATAGTTCTTTTTAAAAAATAATAATTTATTTTTAAGGGTGTTATGTATTTTTGTGTGAAAAATAACCGACGAAATTGTGTTGGTCTTCTTTCTTTAAAATCACCGACAACCTAACAAAGTAAGTCGAGTTTTAACATTGTTTAGTAGTGTTATTAGCAATGAACAAGAGTCTTTTTTTAGTAGTGTTATTAACAAAGTCAGTCAAGTCTTTTTGAAGATGAGTTTGTTTATTCGTATTGATTTATATTAAAAATTAAAAGTGAGTATTTGCATTAAATTTAGATAGCCTAGATGATAAGAAAAAATAAATAAGTAGTGTTATTTAATTTAATTGAATGTTTAAGAAAGAAAATCAAAGAACTTTCGTCAATTTACTTTCATGCAAAAAATACAGAGAAATATCAAAATATATTATTGTTTGAAAATATTTATGTTCGTTCGCGAATGTTTAATTTTTTTAATTAACAGACACACGTCTATTTTTAAAAAATAAGAAATTGCAATTGAAGAACATAAATAAAAACAAATCATAAAAATTAGTATAAGTGTTTAAATGGTAAAAAAAATGGAGTTTAAGGATTAAAATGGAACAAAGCTAAGTTGGAGTGCCAAAATAAAAAATGAGGGCAAGTTTGAGAGGCTGTATATGTGTTTGGCCTTTTAGAAAACATAACTTATCATGAAGCAGACAGATTATAATTTACCAAACAAGAAAATTAAGTTTTGTGTTGGAATAAGAATCTTAAGTGATTTAAAATTTATTATTTTTTATATTTATTTAATTATGTATAGTTAGAAAAGAATTTGTTTGTTTCAATTCATATAGAAATATAATTTTTTTATTCAGATTTAATTTGATTTTCAGTTAAGCCATAATTTTGAGGCAGCAATTGCAGGTAGTAAAAAGGGGTAAAAAAGAGAGCAGTAGAATCCAAGGGTTTCTAGATGTGGGGGCTGGGTGTCAGTTGAGCATACCGTTGTTCACCAGTTAACTCATTTTTTTTCTTCTGAATTTCACTATGAGACAAATTCTTTTCTTGTGAGGTTTTTTTTTTTTCGAGATATCTGTTTTGGAATCTAATTAATATGAATTTCACGTGTCGAAAGTTTTATTTTGATAATTAAGCATTTCTTTTATTAAAAAAGACGGTTTCATATTGAAAATTTCAACTTAAAGCTTTTGATTATAAATAAAGAAATACTTACTATATCACAATATTCGATAACTGTTGATAGTATTCATACGTAAGTAGGTTTAAAAAAATTAGTATTCCTTCTATTTTGAATTGAGTGACTTGATTCAAAGAAAGTTAAAGAAAAAATTGATCTTATGGTTTAAAATTAAAGATGTGTCGAAGATTTTTTTCATATCTAAGACTTGAACTCGAGATCTTTGATTAAGGGAGGAGCAACACATCCACTACTATCTATCCTTGGGTGGTATTTTACCTTGATTTCACTGTTTGAGAAATTATTATTTTTTGTAGATTTTTCATTTGGTGTCGAAACATCTGTTTTGAAATTCAATTAATTTGAATTTATTCGATGAGTTTTATTTTTAGGAATTAAGCATTTTCTACTAAAGGCAACTTCATACTGAAAGTTTAAACTCAAAATTTTTGGTTAGAGATAGAAGAAATACTTATCACAATATTTTATAACTGTTTTTATATGTGCAGTAGTTTTTCCAAAAAAAATAAAATTAGTACTAATAATTTTGCTAGTAATTTTCTATGATCAGTTTTACTCATAAAAAGGTGGATTTTTTTTTTATAATTATTAAAATCTAAATATAAAAGTTTATATTTTTATCTTCACTTCATTATTAGTAGATCAAACCCAACAATGCTATACAAAGAATTATTGACATGGTTAAAACTTAAAAGTTAAAACTATTAAAGATTAACTAAACAAACAAGAACCAAATCTTAAAAAAAATCACTTGTATCTATATAAAAAAAATGATCTAATAGAAAAGACGTTCTTATTAATATAACGTAAGAAAAATAGTATCTCTTTAAACATATATAAGAAAGGGACAAGAATAATTTTTTAATCAAACACTTGTAAGTTGTAACAATGTCAAACCAAATAAGGCCTTAATCAGTCCCGTAACTAATACAATTATCAATTTTTCAATTCACTTTTATCATCAACATTTTCAAGAATTTGGTAAAAATGAAAAAAGAAAAGTTGCATAATTTTTATTTATTTATGGGAAAAGAATATGTTGGTCTAGTGGTTGACAAAACCAAATATATAGGGTGAAAATTGGAACAGTGATAGATGGGGAAAAAGAGAAAAGGAAAAAAAGGGGATGTCTTGCAAGAACCAATGTGTTGGTTGCTTTTGCATGGTTTAATTAAGCATTTTTGGAGACAAAATAATGACACAAGCCAGGGTTATTGGTCCTTGGGAGACTTATATATATATCATTTGACCAATTATGGACTCGTTTCGTTTCGTGGCTGATTAGAGTTATGCATATATTAATAATGGAGAAATTAGTTATGTGTACGAGTCTGTTATTTTATGCAAATACTAGTTATGAAGGGATTAACTATATATGTATTAGTTATTTCATTTTCTATCCTGCATATTATAATACATATGTTCCTTCATAACTTATACATATAATTGTCATACATGTTTCTAAATTGTCAATCAAACGTCGTATAATTTTATAAATGAATAATTTATTTCCTATCTACCTACTAAACATTGTATAAGTTAGATGTGAATTAATTTATGGATAACTTATTTCTTATCCAGCTCCCAAACGACTTATAATATGATTAAAGTATATACAACATATATATACATACTATATATATATATATATATACTTTGTATGTATTTTTTTGTATACAAGATTTCTGACTATTCTGGTCGTTCAACTTTTTATTTATAAATGTAAAAAATAATAAAAGAAGAAGATGTCTCTTCATTTCTTTAGACTTATAACAAAGCTCTTTCACATTATTTTTTTTCTCACTTTCAAGCATCTCATTCGACAGATACAAGTTCATGTTTACTATTCCAGTATAATCCAATAAGATTAGTTTGAGTTATATACATTATATATACACTAATATATAGTATTGTAAATAAGTTTTACGTCTTCTTTGAAGTTTTACATGCTACTACAAGATTTCATTTAGGTACCTTGTTTTGTAGGTTACTAATCAAATGTTGCCAGTATTAAAAAAATGGAGTTTGACTTATATACATCCATAACATTATAGGAACATTCTAATTTCTATACTATAAAGTCATATTTATATAGATTGCAACAGATAATCGACCTTATTATAAAGAATGAAATTTATGATCTTTTTAACAAGATAGTGTGTCCAGAAATTCATGTTAATGAAAACTTTCCAAATATTTTATATGAGATTTGGGGTGTGTTGGATTGAAGGAAAATGTTTTCTTGAAAAATATATTTTAGGAAAATAAGTGAATTTTTTACTCTCTTTTTTTGTGTTGGATAACTAAGAAAAAAAATATGGGGAATACCCCCCACAAAAACAAAATAATTACAAACATATACCCCTTACATTCATACCCCACTAAATAATTACACTATATACCTTCAACTAATTTCGCTTAACTGATACAAATACTATATATATATATATATATACACTGATTTAGTATCAATTAAGTGAAATTATCAGCCATAATGAATGGGGGCATGTGTTGATTTTTTTTATTTTTTTTTGAGAGAATGAGTATTTCTTGAATTACTTTGGATTGGGGTATGAACATGTAATTATTTTGGGTTTTATGACCCATTTATATAGTTTTTCCCAAAATATATCATCCTAAAAGTATTTGTTTATATTCTAGAAAGATACTATGAGAGGAGAGGGTAGCGGTAGGGCTAGGAACTAGGAAGTGGGGTGAAGATGAGTTGTGATGGAGGGTGGGTACGACACATATAATCAATGTTGAGTGTCATTTGTGGAACTTATTCGTATTCCTCATTTTTAAGAAGCTTATTTTTTCAGAGAAAGTGTTTCCAAAATTTTTGACCAATTGAACATTGAAAAACCGAAAAACATTACCTAGCACACCCTTTTTTTTCTTCTTAGATCGAATTAGA